GACGTTTTGTCATTGCTGAAAACACAGAGTTGGAAAGACGGAGGGGAAATGTTGGACAAGATTCAGCTGTGTGTTTTTTTACGACGTGTTTCTGGAAAGTGTTGATTGCTAATGCAGCCAGTCAAGTCAGCCCCAAAGGTTGCGTCTGCCAAGAAGAGGAATCCAAGAAACAGCTCGGGGCTTTCTCAGCACGGTCCTGAGATCCCCAGGTCAACCTGTCCTGTGAGGGGCGAAGTCTGATCCTGGGGCTGGCTACACTCTGTCCTAACGTCAGCTGTCTTTAGTTGGTGCAGTGGGACCCAGCCAGCACCACTACACTGCAGAGGTGTGTGTCCTGCCCCACGTCTTCATTCTAAGGTGAGGACGATGGGCCTCTCCGGTGTGGGGCACTTTGTTCCCATAGACATTGTTGGGGCGTCCTGGTGAATGCCTCTGGCACCCCATTTTCTCATGTCCCAGTGGTCACAACAGGTCACATGGCAAGAGCTTCCTCCCAGGGCAGAGACCTCGCTCGGTCCACAAGAAGGAGGGTGGATTAATCATTGTTTAGTTGCTGGAACAAAATATCTGCCACCTGTAAATTAGAGGAAGAGCTGTTTTGATCATCTCCCGGCTTCCAAGGATTCAGTCCATGCTGGTTGGCTGGCTCCAAGCGGGACCATCACGGCAGAAGGGGCTGGCGGAGCGGAGCTGCTCAACTCAAGGCAGCCAGGAAGCAGAGAGAGAGGAGGGGCAGGGACAGCACACACCTTGCAGTTCACTCCTCCACTCACCGCCTCTGAACACCTGAGACTCTCGGTGACAGTTTAGATCTAAACCCTAAGAGTGGGCATGGGGCTTGCACAGTGTGAGTGGTGAATCCGGGTAGGCGCCGTACAGGTTCACCTCTCAAGGAAGAGGTCACTAAGAAAAAAGACAGCATGAAGGGAGGAAGGGCTAGCCTTGTAGCCTGCTTTCTGGGCAAGATCGGAGGCACAAGACAATCAATGAAACAGCTGGGAAGGAAAGCAGGGCCCACCTTGGAGCTGTGCCTTCCGAGGCACACACTGACCTGGAACCAGGGTGTGCAGGTCGAAACACAGTGGGGGAAAGGAACCAGGTAACTCAGCTTCCACACAGTCAGTCCCCGGGCAAGTGCCCGGCCGCCCACCGCAAACCTCGGTGACCCAGTCCCTAATCATGTGTCATGGTGCAGATTTGACCGCTGGGGCTCTGGATGCTGTGACGGTTCCTGCAAGGGCTGTGGAAGGTCAAAGCCTCCATCGCCCCATGCAGGGGCCGCGTCAAGCCACCCACAGGCGGGAGTCAGACCACCGAGCCCTCAGCCCCATCCGCTCTCCCTGGCTGCGCCCACCCTGGGGAGCGGACCCGTCCTTTCTCTTTCAGATGAATCCCCGATCCCACAGCCACCCTTGGTGTCCCGCTTGGTTCTCTGTTTAGGACATAGGGAGTCAGAGAGGACCCCAGCCTGGTAACATGCTAGCAGGGGCTCCTGGCAGGAAACCCAGCCAAGGCAGGCTTGAGTCAAAGCAGAAGAGACGAGGAAATGAAGAGACGGAGGCCGCTCCAGCTCCGCAGCACGCGTGGTCGGCTCGGGAGTGGGTCCGGGCTGGCTGCCAGCCGGGTCTCCCCTCTCAGTCGGCCGTGTCCTCTGTGCAGGCCTGTCCTGCCTCAGCGTCCTGCCAGGATCCACTTCTCCTGGACCCCAGAGTCTTCTCCGAGGTCCTGACTGGGTCACCTGCGCCAGCCCCTCCGCCCTCAGATCAGCTCTGCCAGCGTCACTGCCCTTGGGGCCCAGAGTCCAGGGTGGCGACTTTGGACTCCGCGGGGTCTGTGAATAAGGACAGCTGGACTCGTGTCCACGCTGGGAGGCCACAGCCAAGCCGGGCACCAGGCAGGGCCTGCAGCGCTGTCATAACCAAGTCTCTGTGGAATTTGCCAGGGCTGCTGGAAGCGGAGGGACCTCGTTCCCTCCAGCTCATCCCGAGCTCCTGGCATGAGCGCCTGTGCAGGGGACTCGGCCCACGCCCGAATGTCGCCCGCAAGCACCTTGATGTCTGCTCAGGGGGCGTCGTCGAGATTCCGTGCTGCTGGAGACGACCATGTAGATCTTCACACAGAAACGAAAGCCACAGAACCTGACACGGAAAACCTGGTGTCCAAGTCCTGCTCATGCATTTTGCTGGAGGGTTTGGAAGTGAAATGAATGGGGCGGGGGGAGGCAGAAGGAGGAGGGGAGGTGAGAGGGATCGGAAGAAGAAGGGAAGGAGGAGGAGGAGAAGAGGAAGAGGCAGAAGCAGCAGATGCAGAAGGGAGAGGAGGAAAAGGAGCGGGGGAGGGGGAGACCCTGAAGAGCCGTCTTACAGGAAAAGAGCGGCCGCAGAGTCCTGTGGTCCCGAGAGGGCAGAGCGCACAGGACAGTCTGAGGAGGCCGCCAGGGAGATGTGCACTCATCCCAGCGGGCTGTGGACCCGCACCTCAGACAACTCAGCGTGAGACGGGCGGTTTGCGGGGCAGTGCTGAGCCGTGAGGGCGACGGCGGGGACCCCAGCTGGCAGCCGGGTCACAGAATGTGGGGCCACACGGGCCGCTCACAGAGGCAGAGGGCTGAGGTCCAGGAATCACAACCCCAGGTCCAGAAGACTCCTGAAGGCCCTCGGGGCCTGTGGTCCTGTGACACGTCTGTCCTTGCTTGGTTCCCTTGTGAGGTGACGTCTGCTTACGGGAAGTGATCTCAGCACGGTGGTCTGCAGGGCTTTGCTTTGAAGTTTTTTTAAATTTTAAGACAGAGTCTTGCTAAGTCATTAAGTTGCCCAGGCTGGGCTTGAACTTGTGATCCTCCTGCCTCAGCCTCCCAGAGTGCTGGATGGCAGGTGTGTGCCACCACGCCTGGTTTAGTTGCTCTTGTTCCAGCATCCTCGGTCGGGGGAATGAATGGACGAATGCATTTAGAGCTCATAAACTTTATTTTTTGCAAACCTCCTTTAAACAATTCACATCCTAGTTCAGAGCTGGGTGGAGTCTGCCCTGAAGTTTTTAGGGAATAAAGCAGACAGCGGAGTCTCCTTGTGTTCTTTGTGCACAGCTGAGCTTCCTTTGTCCTGCCTTAGAAGGGTGGCAGGGCCTGCGTCAGGGGCTGTCACCGGCCCTGGCTCAGAAGGAGGTGCACTTGCTCATCTGAAAGTGTTTAAAAGTCAGAAGAAATGCGTGGAGTGCTTTGAGAACTAGCTTGTGCCCGCCCAAAAGACGTCTTTTGGAGTTGGCTCTGCACCTTTAAGAAAACGATGAGCAAGTGAAGTGTCCTATGGGGTGTGGAGAGTTCTTTGTGGAGGCTGGATTCCCTCGCGTAAGAAACACTCGTGGAGGAACCGACATTCCCCCCCCAACCCCCGTCTCAGGAGCCGTCCATCCTGGCTGGTGATCACAGAACAAAGTTCTGAGGCTACTCGATTAAAATTTTAGTGGTGGAGGAAGATGGGAGAGAAAAATAAAGCCGCGCTCAAAAATATGGCTGTTGAAGCACAGCTTGTGAATGTGAAGAGGAGTCTCAGACGGCCCGCCGTGACTCTGTCTGGAATTCTTGGAGCAAGGGAGGACCCGGGACGGCAACTGTGGTGTCTCCTGCCCGCCAGAGGGCGCAGTTCCCTTGTGCACCCGTTCGCCAGCACCCGGTGTGATCCCTGGGGACAAGGTGGCCATCAGACGTGGTGATGCTCTCCAGTAATACCAGCACCCTGGGAGGCTGAGGCAGGAGGATCACAAGTTCCAGCTCAGACCGGGCAGCTCAGTAAGACCCTGTCTCCAAAAGTAAATAAATAAATGATTTTAAAAGGCAGGGGGGTGAGCTCAGTGCAGAGGCCCTGGGTTCAATCGTTAGTACTGAAAAACATAAATGCGCTCTGCAGCACCGCACCCTGCTTCCCGGCGCTGACCCCCTGCTTCTGCTCATTTGCTGCTGGGGTCAGGTCTGTCCCCCCCAGAGGAATGTCAGCTCCCCACGGCTGAGCCTGCAGCTGGCTGCACGGGGCCCTGGCTGACATCTGCGGCACAGCAGTCCAGGGCAGGACAGTCCAGGTCGCGGGCGCAGCTGGCCACCGCGCTGTCCTCCAGGAGTGCCGGTTTGTTGACTGCCTGCTAGGTGGCCGACGGGTGCTCGTTCCAGGACCTTCCTGCCAGCGCGAGCCTGCACCCGCAGTTCACAGGAAGTGAGCGTCACCCTGGAGACCTGCGCCCCGCTCTTCCTGTGAAGATGCGGCGGTGCCGGGGCAGCCACTCCTGTGTGCCCTCCCTCAGCACTGCCTGCGGGTGGCGAGGCTCTGGGGACCCAGTGCTGCACGGTGACTTGAAGTGACGCCTGTTGGGGCGCGGTGGCGGGCGGGCGCCGTGCTGGAGAGCAGAGGCAGCCGCGGCAGCGACCTGCGAAGCTGCACTGCAGCCCGGGTCTCCTCTGACCGTAGGGGGGACTTCGAGCCGTGAGTCCTGGGGACACAGTCCCGTGCTTGTCAAGCAGCGTGGTACCCGCTGTGCCCAGGAGAACGGGCCGTCCGTGACCCTAGGAGCAGGTGACCGAAGGCAGCCAGTGTGGTGCATGGAAAGGAGGGGAAACTGAGTCAGCGAGGAGCCGCGGCTGCAAGGCTGGGCTGGGAGGAAGCGGGGAGGTGGGTGGGCCGGGAAGGGAACCTGGGGCTCCTAGGGACAGGGCCGCGGGTGGTGACCTGGCCAGAGCACAGGAGATGCGACAGAGCAGGCGCGCTGCATGCCCAAGCATCCAGGTGTGCAGCATGGGTCCTTGGGTGGCGCCTGGACCCCTGGTAGCACGCGCAGCCCCTGGCTCCTGCTGCGACACACAGCCGGAAAGCTGTGGAGTAGGAAGCCTGCTTCTCCCACCCCCGTCCTTCCC